TTCTTCATCAATTTTATAGCAATCATTTTTATTGGGAAGTTTCTCATATTGGATGTAATTATTGAATATCTCCTGCTTGTCCTCCACCCTCAAGATTAGTTCTCCCTTCTCCATGTCAATAAGGGTTCGTCCCGTTGCTAAGAATGGTCGACCCAATATAATTGGAATGTCTCAATCTTCTGGTATGTCCAATACAATGAAATCCACTGAAAATATTAAATTTCCTACTTTTACGAGTACATCCTCAACTTTGCTCGTGGCCTTGCGATTGTTTTATCAGCTAGCTGTAGCGTTATTGATGTTGAGTTGACTTCACCTACTCCTAATTTCCTGTAAGCAGAATACGACATTAGATTGATACTAGCACCAGTGTCACACAATGCATTAGTTGAATAGGAATTTCCAATTGAAACTGGTAAAATAAAACTTCCCGGATCCTTCAATTTAGGAGGCAATTTTCTCTGGACTCTTGCATTACTTTCCTCAGTTAATGCCACAGTTTCAAACTCCAGAAGCTTTCTTTTCTTTGTCAACATCTCTTTCAAAAATTTCTTATAGCTTGAAATTTGTAGTATCGCATCTATGAACGGAACATTGATCTGGAGCCTCTTGAGAACATTGAGAAATTTTTCATAGTTTGTGTTTTTTTGTTCTTCTTGAGCTTTTGAGGAAAGGGAATGGGAGGCATGTAAGATTTGTCTAGACTTGGTGCTTTGGCAGCTGATGTTTCTGTACTTTCATTTTCAGTTACGTTTGGTACAGATTTTTCTACCCTTGTAGCTTCATCAATCACTTCTTGGTCATTTTTTCTTTTGGGTCTCTCTGTAGTGATCTCTGGTGCTTGTATCTCGCTCTTTGTAGTTATGACATGAACATTTTGCTCCATCGACTTCTTTCGAAGTCTTTGGGGAAACGGAAGTGGAGGTACATATGTTTTAACTTTTAAGGGAGCCCTGGGTGGATCGTTCTCCACTATTTTAATTGCCATCAACTATTCCTTAGGAATTATCATTGTATTGCCTGGAAATGTCCCTTGTGGACATTTTGCAAGTTGTTGTGCTATCTGACCAATTTGTGTCTCCGGTTTCTTGATGGATGCCTGCTGATTTTGAAAATTCATGTCAATTTGTTGGAACACCTTGTCTATCTTCTGCACATATTGTTGAAACATCTCCCCCAAACTTGGTCTTCTTTCTTGCTGGAAATTGTTACCATATGAGTTGGAATTACGGGAGCTATTTGAATAAAGTTTACTATTTCCTCTGAAGAAGTGAGCATCATGCAGCTCTCTGTAGCGTGATTTCTCCCACAATTCTCACATACTGAACTGGTCATCATTGCATTTGCTCCATGTGTTTGCAATTTTACAAGTAACTTTACCTATTCTGTTAAAGCTGCTATCTGTACATTAGTAGATTTTGTACTGTCTAATTCACACATTCCTGCTGCCTTTGGTGGTACCACTCTTTCTGATGAGAACATTGAATGTGTGGTAGCAATTAACTCAAATAGGTCCATGGTTTGTTGCACTGATTTCCCTATGATTGATCCTCTAGCAGAGGCATCAACTTGAGATTTTGATAATGGTGTAAGTTCGGTGTAGAAGTACTGCACTTGGTTTTCTTGAGTGATTCCATGGTTTGGACATTTTCTCATCAGCTAATTAAATCTATTCCATGCCTCGTGATAGCTTTTTCCCTCTTTCTGTTGAAAAAATGCAGCGCCTGGGCACTGCGTTAGTGGCACTTGGGCGTTGACTTTCTGCTTGTTTCAGCAAGATGGGCGCCACGGCGCCCGGTACGCCCGAAACGGCATTCTGCACGTCTTTCAGTATTTTTAGCATAACTTTCTCGTTCGATATCCGATTAAAGTGATTCAAGATGCGTTAGAAAGCGAATTCAAAGGACTACAATTTTGCTTCCGGAATCATTCTCCAATTCGATCATTTTCTATGTCAAAAATGAGTCTAAATGTGAGACTAAAACTCCGACGCAAAACTTTTTGGTTGGAAAATGATTTATGATCATATTTTGACTAAATTTGATCCATTTGACACCTTCCGTCATCCAATTGGCTTCTAGAACTCTCGGATCTTCATTTCAAGTTTCGACACGACTTTTGATTAATTGCATTTTAATCCTCGAACTTTGGATCTCTTATGTTTTGATCATTTCATCCAATTTCACTAGCTTTTGCATATTTCCTTCTTTTGACCTCTTTTAGCTATTGTTTTCTCCACTTCCATCAATCTACAAAATAACACCAAAATCACTTGTTAGCACTTCTAAAATACTCTCCAAGATAGCAAACTCATGAGATTAATGGTATAATATAATGAGTGTAAATCACTCATCACTCCATCTTGAAAAATATTTTTACAAGAAATGGATTAACTGATGAAATAACTCATAGAAAAAACTTGCACAAGTTGAACAGAGGACAGGCAAAGACAACCTCAGCACGCTCTCTTAAGCTTAAAATGTTTGCTTATAAGTTGTGATGTTTTATGATAAAAATGATTTTCTATTTATTAAAATTGGAAATTACAAGTTACTTATTTGACTCTAAAGTATGACATTACTTTCAAAATAAGTAAAAAATTTACTTTAAGGTAACAAAACAGTAAAAGATGATTGTCAGTACCTAGGTGTCAAATCTCGGTGGATTATTGGACAAGGTTTATGCTGATGAAAATAATTCATACCTCCACCAACACAAAAAATTAAGTTTAGGATTGCTAGCAGATTTGAATTCATTTTTTTTCTCTCGCATTGGAGTGCACAGGGAAGGGGACAGGGAGTAAGTAAGCCAACACAAAGGTAAACTTAGCAATATAATAGCTTCCTCTCTTACCAATGGATCTCCTAGATCTACCATTCACCAATCTTTACATTTATGAATTCCAAATTCTTACATGATAAGAATGTGAGAATATAGATATCATACTCCATTCACTACAACAAAAATGGGATTTTGTAACACATAAAATGCAACATTTGTTATTTGAATGTTGCTAAAGTGTCAATCGCAACATAAATGTGTTTGAATGTTACCATTGATAAACATAATTAAGATTTGGCAACATTTTTTAAAAGAATGTTGATAATGTTGATTTTTTGTAACGTTTATTGAGTGTTGGTGAAAGTTTTATTTTTCGCAAAATTTATTAGCCATTGTTAAAAGTTCATTCTATAGCAACTTTTAGTGACTATTACGGATACTTAGATATATAGTTATTGCAACGCTTACTACTAAACGTTGCAGAAAGTTAAATTTTTTGCAGTGTTTATTAAAAGTTGCGAACGTTTGGTAAATGTAGCAAAAAGACTTTTGGGCCCAACTTAATGTTTAACTTGTTGGGAATCTACTTAACATGCGCAGCGAAAAATTAAAATAATTTTCAATTCCCACCAAGAATCGTCTTTGTGTTTAGATAAAAATTTTAATAAAAGTGATACATTTTCACGATCTGCAAACTCATTTGTCTTATCTTGTTCCAGCAACTTGGATCTGTCTCCCACAACTGTCCAATTGTCCAGCCTCCAATGGTGATCCACACAGAAAACAAGATTGTAGTATTAAGATTTTTCTTGTGCTAGCAAAAATAATGAAAATCTCTACAAATTTGAAAATCCTAATCATATATAAGCTCGAACGGGTTTAGCCTGACCCGGGTCCAACATTTAATTAACTAATTTAATTAAATCCAATTCGTGAATTAATTAATCTAATTAATCAATCAGGGCTAAAAATAAGTAACCCAATTAATTAATTTATTCAACACTTGTTAAATTAATTAATTGACAAATCACAAGCTTCTAGTTCTCCTTTTGTGTGCGACTCATCAGGTTTCCGATCACGATGCCTAACGACATGAAATATTATTTTGATCTAGTCAAAATTGATAAATTAAAACATTCTTTTAATTTACCAATTCACACTCGCCGTCCCAAATTGACATCTAACAATGTGTTAGGGTAATACATGTGACGGGAAATGTCCCGTGGCCTCTGTTTGAGCCCCATTTTTACCTCATTAAAATAAAAAATATGACCGTTATCCATCACATCAAGCCACCATTTTTGAATTTCTATCTCTGGTGTGGGGCCCATAACGGCTCTATTTCTCATTATAATGTGGCTCAAACGGGCTCGTGGTATAACAAAACCAAACTCATTCGTTTACCGTGAAATTATAATCCATTCGTCAATATAATCCGATCAATTACGAGATATGGAAGTGTGTCAATCCCGAATATTGATCATATATTTCACTCTACTATTAAGTCAATATAAGTCGAATACTCCTTTTCGACTTATAACTACACCTTGACCAAAAATTTCGTTATCGACTTAATTGAATGAAAAACAGATCATAATCTCCTACTATCTAAAAGTGACGAATTCTCTGTTGGTCATTCATAACCTTCATACAATTCTTGACATACTCGAACGATGTCGTATTAGCGGCCCTTGGCAGAGCAACATCCAACACCGTTAAAGTATAACTGTCTTATAAGATACTATGACGACCTCAAATCAAAGGACCAATCCCACTACCGAACATTAGAGATTAACCACTGATATTTAAATACTCATCCATGTGGAATCTCTCGATAGGTCTCCAATATTTTGTTCTATAATAAAATATCCACGTGTTCATTAAGTGTCACTACACTTTAACTTGTGAGATCAGCTACTTACTTCTTAAGTAAGAAATGCCACACGTGATAGTTTATCCGTAATAACAATATCCGTATCTCGTTATTACTTACGACCGCAAACAATTTAAAATTCAATTATATATAATTTGTATCTTACAATCACAACTCCTTGTGATTAACAAATTACGAAGATTTGAATCTACAAATTTTGTTATTTATTTAATTATCTATTAATTGAATAATAGATATATGATTAAATTGTATTAATTATATATAAAAAATATTTATATCCAAGATTGATTGAAGTCTGGCATAATACTTGCATTACCTCGTCTCACTCCTCTTTTCTTCTTCTTCCTCTCCTCTTTTTTAAGCCCCGATCTATTTCTTACCATGTTCTCGATAATGGGTGGGTGGCAATTTTGAACTTCACTGCGATAGGGAAGATGGGGAGGCTTCTGTGACCTTGACAGGAGAGTGGGGCTTGGTTTGCAGTGGTGATCGGGACTTAGCCAAATCAAACCACATTGTACGGTGAACACGCTAGAAGTAAACCATTTTACTGTTGTTTTATCTGTTCTGATACTTAGGTATTTTTTATTTTTTTGAATTAACCAATTGCCTATAGTTCATAGGTATATGTTTCTGTTTGTATTCTGTTTAAATTTCAATGTCTTACATACATAATGGTGTTCCATCTTTGTTGAGTCATGCTCAACTTTTTTTTTTTAATTTTTAAATTATGAAATTTCTTATGAAACCGCTTTTGGTCAATAACTTGCAGGCCTATGCCTCTTACATGAAGGGAAGGAAAAATGAAGGGGCCTGATCTCAACCTTTTCAAAGCTAAATTGGAGGTTTGTATTTTTCCAAGTATGCAATGCTTGTTATGGATGTAGTTGCTATGTTCTGATTATATTCTTTTTCATAGGTTAAGGGGAGGGTGTTTTATTTATAGCCTCTATGGCATGAGGAAAGAAAGAAACTACGTGGGCATTTCGGCTTGATTTAATCCTCATTGTCCTACTATTTTAATTTAGTTGTTTTCATTATAGGATACCATAGCTGAGATTAGATATCAACAAGTTGCATCCAGGGGCGAACCCACAGTGGGTCCTGGTGGGTCGCGTGACCCACCAAGTTTGATTTTTTTCAATATGAATATATCAGATTATAGTCCTATTACAGCTGCAAATTTGAAAAGGAAATCCCACCAACCGTCCCATAATGTCTGCCTCACTTGAACCCTTCCTTAATTTCCTTCTTGCCTTGAGTGTTGCCGGCAATTGGAGCCACTATCAGACTCAAAGTCATCTGTCATCCACCATCCGGTTGTGCGGCCGATTCAGTCGAATGATGCTGCTGCCGTTTCAACCATGCGTGGCCTACCTCCCATCTTTGATAGTTGCCACTGCCATTTGCCACCATAGCCGTCCGCTTCCCAAAAACCCAACTTTAGTACAAATTCTACACACGTTGGTCTTTAAATTATTTTATGTTTTGAACTTTGATTTTACTTACATCTCTTGATCTCTAGTTGAAAGCACATTTGGAAAAATGGCAACTTCTTTTAGAGGATGGGGTTCATAATAGTAGCCCTTTTTTAAAAAAATGGACTGCAGTTGCCTCTCAATGTAAAGTATTCCTCCATATATCCCAAACGTATGGTTCAAGTATCAAGACCGATTCTAGTTACTGAATTAACATCTTCTTCATTTGAAATCTTGTTTTAGGTCCTGTATAATTATGAATGAATTTAATGTAGACTAGTTAATGTATATTTCTGATTTCGAGTTTTCATTGCAACAAGTAAGCTTTCTTGACAATTAGTTATGGTGAAAAATGAATTCTGAATATATGATTTGTGATTTGGAAACTTCTCTGAATTTGTTAAACTAGGCATGTAAATGTTAGGGATTGAGTATGCCTGGGGCAAATCTGGATATGTGATTGGTGATTTGGGAATCTCTCTGAATTTGTTGAACTAGGTATGTAAATGTTAGGGATTGAATATGCTTGGAGCAAATCTGAATATATGATTTATAATTTGTGAATGTCTATGGATTTGTTGAACTAGCCAACTAGGTATGTAAATGTTAGGGATTGAATAGAGCCATTGTTTGAAATTTGTTTGGAAATTGGGAATTTCATCAAAAATTAAAATAAAGATAGCATTATTAGTCAACGTTATCAAAGTATGAAAACTCGTACAGAATAATTGTAATAGGATATCTAACATTTATTTTTTCCGTCATTTTTTGGAAAGCTTGAGTGTGCCCTATTAACTAAAAATGCCTGCGTTCGCCACTGGCTGCATCTATGAAAGAATTCTATTGGCTTGGTCATAGATTTCCAATTTCGAATACGAAGACTCTTACCTCTAAAACCTAGTATTTTCTCTTAAAACTAAGCTCTAGAAGCTTCAAATTAAATGGAAAGCCACATAAATGATCTTGTAAAAAAGGTATACCATCACTGTATTTTTCCCCACATTTTCTTCTTTTGTAGCGAAAGGATATGTGTTTCAATATCTAATTATTCTACATAAAAGATATTGGAGTTCTATATCTTCCTTACTATCAAATTTTCTAGGTAGAAAGTAAAGAACATTGCTACCGTTTGTTATGCATAACTATTTTTTGATATGGTATTTTTTAGAACAAGATGCAAGATTGACTGGGGGTTAAATTGCAGTCTACAAGACGTCACATGAGCTGAATTGTACATGGACTTACATGATAGGGTTATATATATATAAGTATTCATTAAAAGTATTAATATTTATGCATATTTTGAGATAGTCTTGAATTTTCTTACAATTTCGTCGAAACTAAATTTCGTAATTGCTTTTTTGTATGATTTAGAATTGGGTTTTGAGAAAACTGAATGTTCTTTGATGTGATTATAGCGTAGATTGTTAGAGTTAACATTTGTCGATATTGTGATTAGACTTGAATGTTGGGGTTATAATATTCATTATAAGTATTAATATTTATGCATATTTTGAGATAGTCTTGAATTTTGTCACAATTTCGTCTAAACTGAATTTCGTAATGAGTGTATGATTTTGGAATTGAGTTTTGAGAAAACTGAATGTTCTTTGATGGTATTATAGCGTAGATTGATAGAGTTAACATTTGTCGATTTTGTGATTTAGTCTTGAGTGTTGTTACAATTGCGTCTCAAATTTTGTAATGATCTTTTTTAGTGATTTTGGAAGTGGGTTTTGAGAAAAGTGGATGTCCATGACTAGGATTATAAAGTAGATTCTTAGTATTAATGTTTTGTCAATCTTGTGAAAAGGTCTTGAATTTTGCTACAAAGCCATATTCTTCTTCCTCATGAGCACACTATTAAAACTATATTCATCTTCTGGTGTTGGAGTATCATTTGTTGGATCTAAGGGTTTACCTCAGGGAATATTGGTAACTTTGGCCATTGCTGTATAACCCGAGGGTTGGCTGCTAGTATGGTGCTTGTATTGGGTATTTTCTTAGAATGCAATGTGACTACATTGCTGCCTCAGGTAATTGTTTTGTTTGAGGTTATGGCAGAATCAGTGCATACCAAATTGCATGATACTATAAAACTTGCTAAATGTAGCAGTTTATAAACATTTATTCTTAGGGATCAAAATTTTCCTATACTTTGTTAGTGATTTTGGAAGTGGGTTTTGAGAAAAGTGGATGTCCATGACTAGGATTATAAAGTAGATTCTTAGTATTAATGTTTTGTAAATCTTGTGAAAAGGTCTTGAATTTTGCTACAAAGCCATATTCTTCTTCCTCATGAGCACACTATTAAAACTATATTCATCTTCTGGTGTTGGAGTATCATTTGTTGGATCTAAGGGTTTACCGCAGGGAATATTGGTAACTTTGGCCATTGCTGTACAACCCGAGGGTTGGCTGCCAGTATGGTGCTTGTATTGGGTATTTTCTTAGAATGATTGACTACATTGCTGCCTCAGGTAATTATTTTGTTTGAGGTTATGGCAGAATCAACGCATACCAAATTGCATGATACTATAAAACTTGCTAAATGTAGCAGTTTATAAACACTTATTCTTAGGGATCGAATTTTTTCTATACTTTCTTTAGTTGATAATTTTTATGGAATAAAAATTATGATGAAAGCACATCATAATTTTTTCTATACCTTCTTTAGTTAATAATATTTTACTTATTTTATGCACATGTTTCTATGACCACTTCATTAGCAGAAAACAGACCTGATGTTGCAATAAAAAACAACACGAAAACCAATCCAGAAATTCAAAGAAAAACCATTTTTTTACCCAATAGGTGAACTTTGAATACACGCCAAAAGAATGACATTTAGAAAATTTATGAATATTTTAAGTGGGATACTGATTTGAATGGTTGGCTTGTGAAATTGAGAAACTGTTACAAATGCATCATCCATTGCAAATAAGCTTATTTTGATGGATTTTTGACCTCCAAATTAGCTTACACATTGCCAGTTCCCCGGTAAGACTGTTAAAATGGCGCTTGATAATCTCTAGTAAATGTACCTAATGGAGCAAAATTGTATCGGCATTTGATTTAGCTAATCAGTTTGAAAATGTACTGAAATCTAAGTTCATTTTGTTTCCCTTGTTTTCTTTTTATCTTGTATGAATGTTTTAAGTTTTTTACTTGGCGATTGATGATTTATTTTCTTGATGCAGCTTATTGTAGCTTTGCCATCATTTATATGTGCTGATGCATTCAACAAATACCGACAAACAAATAATGATTAGATCTCGAGAAGATAATACCATCCACATATACCAACAAACAAATAATGTCAACAGTATTCTTGTGAAGGAATAGAGATACATTATACCAACTCTGAGTAAATGAAAAATCTAAAAGAATGTTACGAAATTTGTCAAATCATGCTTAAGGGGCCTTCTTAAGACCATATAAAAGGCATCTTAGTTTACATAAAGAGTTAGCTGATGGAAGAGGTATACCAAATGGAAGTTTTAAAAAAGACCGCTCTTCACATCTATTTGATGTAAAGACCACGATTGTGAAGCTGCAAGTGATATAGAGGTGAACAATC